TCTAATTACTTATCAGGGTAAAAAGCGTTGGAGCTATGCAAGTCTCCCAAGTGACATGGGCCTCAGAACGACAGGCATTACAGTATTATTGAGATTATTGAGGGGGTACATCTTATTTGTAAAAGGAAACATCAAGAATAAATGCAGTTACTCTCAAGAGAATATTCCTGTCACCAATTTGCATGCATTAATATTTTTGCCCATACATGTAAAGTTACTGAGTAAGGCTGTTGAACTTGTTACTCAGTTACATTTTTTTTTTAATTAAGATGATGGAAATCTTCTAACATGGGCCTCATATAGGGTTTGGGCTTGTTTATTGTTTCGTTTTTTGTTTTCCTTGTCTTTCATTACAAGGAAGAAAAAGTTGTGAATTTTTCTAAAAGTTGATGCTATTGTTTTAATTAACTATCCTGGGGAGTGGGAAACCTTGTCCCTGGCAGAAAGTCTTTGGTGCATCTCTCTTTAGTAGCAACTGTTAAGTTACTTGTCACTATACCACATGTGAAAGCACAACATGAGCCACTGCTATTGCAAAGGTATAAAAGAGGAAGTTTTATTTCTGACTCCAACATTTATACTTTTCCAAAGGTGACAGTGGATAGGAGGGTGAACATACCACCTTCTCCAACACACTGGACAAATCACCAGTACATCAAACCTCTCTGCCTCCACAAAGGAATGCAAAATAATAGGTTGTTTACATAAAGTTGTCTGAGAAAGTTTTCTACAAGAATGTGAACTCAGAAGGCTTTAGAAAATCTTAAAAATCAGGCAACCCCCTCTTCCAGTCTCCTCTTAATAGCATATAGTGTCTGGCAAACATATCTAGTGTCTGGGATGGATGTGTCTTAGAAAACAGGCAAAACTCTCATAATCTCCCAGCACATGGTGCTCTTTGTGTTAAAGCTGATTAATGGATAACAGTCAGAAGTAAAGTGCTGGGTGAAGTGCGTCACTGTGCAATATAATCAGCAATAAAACTGTTATAGAGCATGAGCTGCTAGCTTCAGTTAGTCTACTCTCAGAAGGTTTTTAATTATTTGAATCAGGGTGGAAACATCCAACTATTGGAACTGGATTTGAAAATCTTCTGAACACATTAATTAGTCCTTCCAAATATGGCCTTTAGCTCTTTATAGGTATGGAAATGCTAAATCCTTTTTTCCAGATAGTTGGAGTAATTAAGAACATTGAGATAAATGCCTTCATCATTCCTGCACAAGACTCTATGATTATCTCAAAATACACAAATAAATTAATACAATAATAAGTTGATATATAGATCCACATGTCACAGAAATGTCTAGGGTTCTCGTTGTATGTTTGATGGGCATTTCTTAATCTGAATTACAAAGGTCTGGTTTTATGCTGCAATAATTGGAAATCCTTAAATTAAATCTTTCTATAAATGAAAATGTTTACAGTAATTAGCATGAAAATCTTAGACTGTGTTATCTAATAAAGAGGGTTTCATGGTTCTTACCAAGGATTCAATATTTAACAGCTTGGGTCCTACAACATATGTCTGGTATTTTCCAAATGACATCAAAGAATTTTTTACCATTTCTCCTTGCCTTTGAGGAAAAAAAGAAGACTCAAAATAACCAGTTACCAATTCTAATTCATCACATTACTAAATCTTGTTTAAATTATAATTCCTCTTGCACTGCACATTTATGCACAGGATATAGACCTTTCTTTTTCTAGCCCCATTTTTTAGGTAGTTATTAAAGAGAAAGCTTTAAAATAGCATTACCATAATGGTAAGCATTAATTTTTATGTGTTTTACAAATATCCAAGGCTCCAACATCTCTGTCCTTGATGAACTAGAAATCCCACAGAACCTTACACTGGAGGAAATTATGTCTTTTCTCTAAATTGCTGGAGCTGAGCACTGACCAACCAGAATAGTTGTTGTTCTCCATTTCTGAAGTTGTTCACATAACAATTGTAGATAAATAACATTTATATAAGCAGCCTCTTAATGTGTTATCAGATCCCACTATACTTATTGTTGATGTGACACTGGCTTAGCATTACTTCACCTGATGTTTGGTGTCATGTTAGAGGTTCACTGCTAGCTTTCCCTGAAGCTGGAGAGAACTTGACTTCTTGGGTACATAAGTATTTTCCTGATGATGCTTGAATTTTGCATCAATTACACAGTGTGACAAGCTGTTCAATTTAGGTGTCCAGTGAAGGGCTTGAACCTGACCAGTTGAATTTGATTTTTGCTGTCTTTAACTGCTTAGTAGGCAACAGCGCTTGAAAATTGGTTGTACTATGATAATTTGATATAACTTAGGTTCCTTAGATGTTTTAAATAATCATGGAATAGCTTGGGGAGGGTAGGGGGAAGTGACCTTAAAGACCATTGAGTTTCCACCTTCCCCACCATAGGCAGGGATGTCATTCACTAAATCAATCCAACCTGGCCTTGAACACTTCCAGGGATGGCACATCCACAGTTTCTCTGGGCAATCTGTGCCAGTGCATCACTACCCTCAGAGAAAAGAATTTCTTCCTAAGAACTAATTTAAACCTGTCCTCTTTTAGCTTAAAACCATTGCCCCTTATCCTGTCACTATCTGCCTTTAAAAAAGTTGCCTCCCTCCTTTAATAAACACCTCTTAAGGCAATTGAAAGGCTTCAGAGAGGCCTTCATGGGGCCTCCTCCAGGATGAACAACTCTATCAGCCTGCCCTGTCCATTCCTCTGAGCATCTTTGTGGGCTTTTCTGCACTTGCTGTAACAGATGGAACATCTTTCTCATGCAGAGGACCCCAGACCTGGATGTGGCACTACAGGTGGGGTCCCACGAGAGCAGAGAAGAGGGGGACAATTACCTCCCTCAGTTTGCTGGCCACACCTCTTTTGAGAATGCCCAGGATACCATCTGCCTTCTGGGCTGCAAGCGAACTCTCTTGGCTTGTGTCCAGCTTTTCATCCAACAGAACCCCCAAGTCCTTCTCAGCTCAGTTGCCTCACCAAGTTCTTCTCTCAGTCTGGACTCATGTCTGGGATTGCCCTCAGCCAGGTACAACACTTAGCACTTGGACTTCTTAAACTTAATGAGAATCCTATGAGCCAACTTCTCAAGATTGTCCATGTCCCACAGATGGCTTCTATTGTGACAACTGCACTGCTCAGCTTCATGTATCTTAAACTTGTTGAGGGTGCACTTGATTTCACTATTTCATTGATAAAAATACTAAAGAGCACCATCCCAAGACAAAACCCTGATGGACCACTCATCACTGACCTCTTCCTGAACACAGAGCCATTGCCCACAACTCTCTGGATACATCCATCCAGCCAACTCCTTATCCATTGAAAAGGTCATCCACCAAATCCATGTCTCTCCACTTAGGAGATAAGGATCTCTAGTGGCACCATGTTAAAGGCCTAACAGAAATCTTGATAGCTGACATCTGATGGTCTTCTCTTGTTGACTGTTGCCATCACTCTATCAGAGGATTGGTCCTGACCAGCAAACTGGACAGGCAACTTTCCCTAGTACTCACTGGTGCTTCATCCTGTGGCTTTATTACACCTACTGTCCAACACCCTATGCCTAGAATAGAAGCATGCTGCTCTTTAATATTTTCAGTCACTTCTCTGGGTCTTATCTGAGTTAGATATTAAGAAGCAAGGGTGAAAGGAAAAATGGACAAAGAGTGGGATCAAAACAGTCAAGTTCAGAGCTGGAGGCATCAGGTTAAGAATTCTGAGAAAAATGAGTTTTACCTGAGAAACATGAGAAACTTCATGGGAACATGAGAAACTTCATAGGTAGAGAATGTGCAGTGAAATCTATTATATTGTATGCTTGTTTATGTACTAGAGTCATTTCTCTACTTCCAAAACTTCAATAAATAACAGTACTTACCTAACAAGAACATTGCTTTTCAGAAAGTTATTTCAAGTAGACTAATAGTTATCTATTTCATCCATATTCTGACTATGACACCTACAGGCCAGAGGAGAGCTGTGCAAGACAGTGAAAGGTATTTTTAGGAGAAAAAAAAAATTGTTGTCCACTCCAACACAAGAAAAAATATTTATGTACCACTTCTGTTATTGAGCTAATAACAGTGCTGAATTTGCATGCCTTAATTTCTTTTAATTTGAAGTGAAGCAAACAACTGCTTTCCTAAATCTCTCCAAGGATATATTTAATAGCATTGCTGTAGATTAGTGAGAAAGAACTTTACAAAAGGGTTGTGCAATTCCTGAAAAGTCTACATTGCTCCATATAAGAAAGCACAGAATGTTAAATATAGCGCTTTTCACTAATGGCTATGGAAAAGTTACTGCTTGAAGAGAACTGGGACAGTTTTGATCTTCAGACTGAAAGAGGTCAGGAAAAAAGGAGAGTTTGCCACAGGGTCAGGGATGCTTTAATTTATGTTTGCCACTGGGTCCCACAAAAACAATGAATTTAAGTTGCCTTGGGCTGGTGAGGCATGGTGTTCAACCAAGCTGTGATTACAGCTTTGGTAGTGACTCTACAAAATGAAAATTTGTTCAGAAGAACTTGACCACACGGGGACGGAGGCAAGGTGTCAATACAGAATAAAGAAATAGAAAAGGCATGGTAAAATTTTTATCTGCTGAGAGACAGAACATTCACTAGTCTTTTTTTTTTCCCTGTGATCTCCTTAAATGTGTCACATTACTGAGGAAACTACTTGGATAATACATTACATCCAAAAGATCAACTTGTGTTAACACCAGTCATAATAATTAATAATGTTCTCTCTTTATAATGTACACTCTTTATAATATACGTTCTTTATAATGTACAGTACAGACACAACAGCCTTAATTAGGCATCTGAGCTGCTGCCCAACACTTCTGACCTTTTTGTTGTGCATGCCAATTATCTGGTGTCTGTTTTCAGGGTTTCCAAATCTTCCAGTCTTTGCTTTGTCCTCCTCTTCTTCCTTTCACAGAACAATTTCTGACTCTTCTTAGGTACCCCTCAATACTTCCCAGTGGTAAAAACCATATCCTGGGAGAGAAAATAGGAAGTTTATATTAATCTACTCTGTGAAAGAAGTGGAGACTAGAGTCAAAATTCTATTTATTATAGTGAGAGACTTCTAACCACGATAGCTGTTAATATTGCCACTACTAAAAGACAGTGTGAATTATTAGATATCTTTCACCACCAACTTCATTTACCAGCTTCTCTGGTTACTCTGGATTTAATTTTGTTTACCAGAAAACAATTTTCTTCTTCTAGTCTACACGAAATGATTGGTACCACAGCCACCTTTTATTCACTGTTAAACTTTAACAAATTGCTATATATATAGATATAACTAATTCCTGTTTGCATTGTGTCCTTTGAGACAATGGCCTATGGCCTCATACTCAATTTACTTAAGCTTTCCTCCAGCATCTTTTCTTGAGAATTACGGATTCACAGTTGAAGAAAAATAATTCAGTTAGCTTTAAGACAGAAACAAAAGATTTTGGAGCTAATATTTTTGTCTTCCAGGTTTACTAAGGCTGTTATTTGCTTTTATTCTCACTATATATATTTATGTAGCTGTGAGAATTACATTTTGGTTGACTTTGCATAAAGAGCATATCTCTAATTATTAGCTGAATTTTGCAAGATTAACACTCAGCAGTTTTTCATGTCAGTTTCTACATCTGTACATGGAAGGATTATAATTTCTAGAAAGGTGTCCTTTTGCTGGAAATTTGTCAAAAGCTCTTCCAGTGTCCCCTGTGGGAAAAATCTTTTTGAGGACATATGACCCAGCTTCTATTCATAAAGCTTCAGCCATTATAGATTGAAAAAGACTACTCCATTATCTGGAATTATGAAAGATTTCTCATGGATTCCAAAATTTTTGTGTGTCTTTCCTGTTCCAGGAAGGGATTGGAATGGAAAGGTGAGGGAGTGGGGTGGAAAGATCAATATTGCCAAGGGAAACAATACTACAATGTCGGTGTCCCCTCCTTTAAATGAAGGTGTAAAATTTGTTTTTCATACAAGAAGCCACCTTGCTTCAACCAGTTCTCACCTCAACAGTGAGGGCTGAACCTTGGCTCAGTGGATCTAACACAAATCAGTCTACTCTTCTGAGACTGAAAGATTTAGGCAGATATTGCTTCTTATACAGCTCCTGTATTAGGCTTATAATTCAAAGTTAGGCACTTTGGGTTTCTCTGTGTAAATGTCTCAGGCAATGAGAATTCAAAGACTTGTGAAGAAGAAAAGAAGTCTTGCTTCTAAAAAAAATTCTTAGAAAAGGATCTACTTTAACTTGTTTCCTAACTTTAAATCGGTAAATTCAACACTAGGAACACACTAAGATACACATTTTGTTTGAGAATCTTATCCCTAGAGCTAAAATAGAGATCAGTTCAGGCTTTTCTCTAACACTATTATTTGCAATCATAATGTGCTTTCTTTACACTTAGCAATCAATTGTCTGTGATGTTTAATATTGCTCAGTTTCCTCTTTCACATCTTCATCATACTGACACTCAAATCTGAGATAGAAAAAGAAATTCCTGAGAAATACTATGACAAATGAAGACCATCTGGTAGGCATAAACATAAATGAGATGCAAACCAAAAAATCTCATTAAACATTGAATCAATCCAGTATACATGACAAGTCTCAAAACAACAGAATTATTTTGAGGTGACTCATGTGTACCAGTGGGGTACTATGCAGAGTGTGATTAATTTTTACAGTCTAATGAATTTCCTCACAAAAAAAAAAAAAAAAAGCCAGCCAAAATTTATTTTGCAGTATCAGTCTTAAATTTCATTCATTCATTTACTCTAAAGTACATTTGTTGTGGTTTTTATTTATGACACTATACTAGGAAATATGTTTCATAAGCCTAAACATATTCTCATTATTTTAGTTTCAGAATCTGAAAAGTTCCTTGCTTTCTGTTACAGAGTAGGAGAATGCATACAGCAAGAAGACAGTAACATATTTAATGTAAGGCCGCTACTTCCAATTCAGCAAATTGGCCAATTGTCCAACATCAATTGCCTGTAAAAATTGGACAGAAGGTTATTTTTGTTGCAGACTTAAAATGCTACTGAACAGCCCCCACCTTAACACTGAGGACTACCCCATGTCCAGCATTTGGCTGGGGCACATGGGTTGAAATCCTGCATACTGAGTCAATTGCTCAATTGATGTCAGCAAAGTTGCATCCAAGGCCCATGTCTCAGTACTACACCTTAAAGAACAGGGCAGGAGAGGTAGCAAAGGGATGACTGGACTTTTTGCAAGTCTGCTAACAGCTAAGTGAAGGGAGAACCTCATATGTACTCTTCTCTCAGAAATAAGGTTTAGCAACCAGCAGTTAATCTGTCAAATAAAGGGTTTATTCTCACTTTAAAGAATCTTTCTGGTTTCCATTCCTGACATTCATGTCAAATTATGGACCATCCACTGATCTTCCATTTTCTCTTAATCAGCACAAAGAAAAATTTTTAAATCAAGAATTTAAACCAAAGAAAGCCCATAAAGCTCCCCTTATAGGTTTATACAGAAAAAAAAAAAAACAACAAAAAAACCAACCAAAAAAAAACCCAAAAAAACCCCCCACAGTGGAATAGATTTAATTTCAGGAGCTTGCAAAATTACAGGAAAATTTATATTATTTCTTGATATTTAATGAATGAGTGATACACACTATTACATAATTTAGTAGCAGAGTGTTTTTTGCATGGCTTTAGATTCTGTATATATTTTCACATCGTACCTCTACTTTTCCTCCCCCCATCCCCCCCGAATACTTAGGAAATGTCCACTGAATGGAGTAGAAACAGAACATCTACGATCTCGCTCCTTTTTTGATTGGGTTCAGCTACTTTGAATCTACTACGTTCTAGCCATATGGCAACATGGGATCCAAGCCCACAGAGGTTATTGAGTGGTTATTCGCTTTCCTCTTAGCTCATGGTAATGTGGGGGATTAGGCCTTTTCTAAGTTCTTAGCTACAGAAATCACAATGAATGTTTCATCTTACAAATGGTTCTGCTCCCAGCAGAAATCTCCCCATGCTCTATAGCACCTTGTCAAAGCCACATCATATATATGGCATCTGCTGTGAAAACCCACTGATAGAACCCCCTAGCTTGTACCACATTTTTTGATGTATTTTAGAAATGTGGCAAGCTGTAAGTATGGAATAAATTACTGGTTTCTTGGTGTTTATAATAGAGTTCATAATTGTCTGATTCAACAATACCATCTCTACCTCAGCTGAGCTCTAAGGCTACGTGGTCCCCACAATTACTATCTTATAAATATCAAGGATAGCTAAAGAAGAGGATGTGCCCTGTGAACAGGAGAGAGATACAAAAATGTCAGGTTTTGGGGGTCCATTTTTCCACACAGTCTGCACTATGTTAAAAAGAGCATTCAGTTGTATATTCAGTATTAAAAAACACCACCTGTACCACAGGAAAATGTTACCACAACCTTCTCCTAACACTTTTCCCATTAAAATTGCATTTATCTGGTGGCTACATTCCAAGTTCTGTGCCCTCCCATATAATTAATTGTATTCTCTACAGGCAATATTTGCTTTTATTTCCCCAATTGAAACAAGATTTTTCCCAGTCTGATCTCCTTCACTCTTTATTTTATGCCACACCAATTCTTCTGCACTAATTTCAAACACTCTTTGGTCCCCATTCTCATAGAAGGACCAATGGGTACTAGTGTCCCTTCATCACTTTCATTGTTTACCAGTCTCTGGTTAGAACTCATGGCATCATTCTTGCAAATGAAGCATTACAAGAATTCTCATCCTTTAGTACTAAAATAAATTATTTATGTTCTTTATAAAAAGAGCATTTTTATTGCTGCTGATTAAATAATATGCCAAAAATACATAGTCTGCAATATATTTTGCCCATGAATCATTCCACGAATTATTAAGAAATATTTGTATTAGGGTGTCTCTGGAACTAGTTCTTTGGAGTCAGAGAGATATATAAATAACCTCTTAACATAGATTCTTGGACTGGGAGATGTGGGAGGTGGTGTTGGTTGCTTGCTATAGGTATTTTGGGAAATACCTAAGAGCTAAAAAAATAGAAAATATGCTTTTCTTGTATTTACAGGGTGATTTTTTCTTTCCCCTTCCTTTCAGAGAGGGAAGTTGCTGCAGTTCAGTAATGAATTTGTTGTACACTGAATCCAGACTGAATCTCCAGGAGAGGGAGACAATGAATAGGCCAGTAGAAAGGATTGAATGCTGATGTCAATTAGACTGAAACCATGAAATAAATGAGGGGCTTCAGTAGTTGTTCTTCATAGCCACTTCAGTTTAGTATGCAAGGGAATGCTTCTGTTTTATTGCAATAATAAATTTCAGAGCCCAGAGAAAGAGAGAATATTGGCATTTCAATCAGGACAGCTTCACACACAGGCAGCCCACTCAACTCAGTGTTGAAAGCTTTATGAAGGCAAGCCTGTAGGATATCCAAGAGATTACTTACATGATTCTAAAGGATGGATTTTTACAAAATCCTTATAACACTGCCTGGTGCCCTTGTTGAAGTGAATTTGAAACACACTCGTGAGCTCCTCAGAGTCTGCAGACAATACCCATAAGTATCAGTGTGTACATGCCTACCTACATTTAATACAACAAACAGACAAATGCTTGTTTCAAATACAATGATAAGGTGTCAATATTTGAGATTTTTGTTTTTAATCAATGGTGTTTGTAAGGGCTACTAATAATTTTCATTACCCCATCAGTCAATCAGGAAGCAAGCTTTGTCTCTGTTGTTTTAGCTTCTGAAAAGAAACTGGAAGCATTGCACAGGAATATGGCAGTAGCAATCACAAACAAGACAAGGTTTTATGGTCTCAAGTAATCACAGACTGCACCATCCTATGTCTTAGTATAGTCTGAGAACATTCTTAAGAAGCTAATATTGCATGAGGAGACAATGTAACCCTCAGCACTATATACTCTTTCTTGCTAGTAAAAAAGGGAACTATTCCACCTGTGCCAAAATTATTCTCAGAGGACCTGAAGATTTTCCTTGGCCAAATTATTAAATAGCAATCTCTTTAATAAACTATAAATTACTTTGCTAAACATTGTGATAAAGGGTGACCCTCAACGGAATGCAATAATACACACACAAAAAAAAGTTTTAATTAGTTACTTTATTCAGAAAAATATTCTAAATGTGAAAACTTTAGGTCCTGGGAACAGAACTGACAGTTAATTTAAGTTTATATCATGTTTATAAATAACAAGAACAGACATTGATATTAAAATTCCACACACAGGTAATACATATAAACATAACAATATACAATGTGATCAGCTTGCAAATGCTACATAATTAAAATTATAGTACAGTTCCCATTTTTAGATATATTTTTCACCTGAGCTGATGTATCTGAACAAAGCTTCTTTTAGAAATTGATGCCTGTATGTGAGTTAGAAAGAGAAATTACTGGAATCTGGGTGGAAGTAACCCATTTCTATAGAGAGCTTTTTGTCATCTCTGAGAACAGATTGCCTCAAATCAGTTTCCGTTATATTTCAGCTCCTGTAACTTGGAGTTCCTGACATGCTACCATGGAATTTGATTCCTTGCCTTCACATGGTGCTCAATTCATTTTGGTTTTGCTTATGTAAATTGCTGCTTATGTAAATTTTGCTTATGTAAATTACTTGTAAAATTGTATAGTTGCAATTAGTCAGCTGATGCATTGAGTCAGCAGTAAAATACAATCCATAGTATAGTTCATAACTTTTTTTTTTCTAGTTCTTTGAAGAACTTTGAAGCTTTTTATTGCTATTTAAAATACAAGCCAAGCCTGCATGGTGTGTCTCACTGAGCCACTCATTGCTGCTTTTGGATGAGCAAAAAAAGGCAGCTTCAGGCTTTGAATGTATCACATGTTTACCCTAAAGTTGGGCCCAGGCTTGCAACATGAGCACTGACATTTCAATTTTCTTAAAGAACTAGGAAGACTTCTTCTGCAAAAGATTTGATCAGAAAGTTCACCTTCTCTGTGATTCTGCACACTGAGAATGGTGTTGCCTTGAGTGCAAACCCACAGAAATGAGTAACTATCTCACTAGCCTCAATAGTTTTTCTCGGTTTAAGTAAGGGTGATAGATACTGACTACAACAATTCAATGAAAAAAAATACCTGATGTTACTTGTTTACTTGACAATTGATTGTTGGGTCATATTAACTGCACTTGTTTGTTCCTGAGCAAGATACTGTGGTAAAGTTTGAGCAGGTAACTGCGTGTAAATTTACATAGTTAAGTTTGTGAAATAAATTTGGAGTAGATGTGAAAAACCTTGCTCAGTCTCTTCCAGATTAGTGAGTAATGCTCAAGACATGTCCATGGAACATTTCATCTTGTTTGAATGACAAAGTCCCTGTCCATTTGGATGCATGGCACCTGCACTTGCTCTTCAAGATAGCACCTTCCACTGACACCAATGGTAATTGCAAAAGAGGAGCATACCTGTACTCACAGGTCTGAGAAAATAACCCATGGAAGTGATAAAACCCCATTCAAGAGAAGGCAGGAGAATAAATCCCTATTTAGCTACTATCTGAATGCTATCATTTTCAGGTAGTTGAGCATAACTCAGAGTCAGAAGCATACTTGCTCTTCCAGCACTGGTTAAGACGATAGGACTAAGAATTGGAGAAGAAAAGGAGCTAAGAGAAGGGAAAGTTGCTGCCCAATTGCCCTGCCAGGGATGGTGCAGTAATGTCAAACACGTCACTTGGCTGTGGCAGTAGTTTTAAGGTAAAAATGGACAAAAGAGGCATAAACGTTTTTCCATGCCCAGCATTATACTATCCTGGACAATTATTTTTGTCTCAGCTAGCAGAGGGACCTTAGGTAGACATTTACAGGTGACAATGGCTCTGCAGGAGACTCTAGCTCCCTGTACAAGAGTCCCAAGAGGCCCAGCAATGCTAGCTCACTTTCTTCCTCAGCTGAGATATGAGTTGCCCAGCAGCCTTTGTTCAAGCACAGTCAGCCAACCAATTATATGCTGCAGATAGGGCATACATGCTGTCCTGGAGCTGCTCACAATCCACATGTAATTCAAAAGCCACCATTTAACCACCCTTGTCATTACCTCAACCTTTCTGAAACTGTGCATTGACACTGAAACAATTGTTTTCTCCTGGTATCAGGTGCCAAGAAAATCACTGCACTCCACAAGTTTTATGACTTCTAGCAGTTCTACTCACTTCAGACAATTGGATCAGCATTGTACAGCTGCTATTCCTGCAGTTTGTCAGCATTTGCCTGAGTTTATACAAAGGATAACACAGAGAGAGCAATTTGTCTCCTTGCCAAAAGAAAAGAGCTGGTATTTCTCTCCTGTGGAAGAAATGAAGTGTGACAAAAATTCTGCATAATTTGAATAGATATGTAATTCGCTGGGGAAATCCGTAAGTGGAATACAGCATTCTCCTTGGGCCAATTTCATTTACAGTAAACTTTTGAATATTATGATCAAGTATTATACAAACAGAAAAGGCAGCTCTGCATAAAAAAACCCCTCTTATTCAAGGATATCTGAGTCAGAAAGCTTTGGAGTCCTGATTTATTGATGATACAAATCCAGTGAGACTCATCTCTAATATTACAATTTCAGTAGACACGCGATTCAGTTACACAACTAAAATGTAGAACTTATTTCATTTTCTTGCCCTTATTGACATAACCTTTTTCTGTTCATGTGGAATTTCACACTGTAAAAAGCTCATTGTCAACAGATTGAAGACAATTAGGAATATTCCTTCCTTGTTTCTCTGTTGTATATTCTAAAAATAATAGTATAGTCCCATAATACACTCTGTTCTGTCAACATTAATTTTGAGCTGGGATGGGTATACAGCTCATTTTTATCTCAGCCATACTATCTTTTTTGTAGTGTTAGAGTTATTATCAAAACTCCAGAATTAAAATGTGGGTTACTTTCAGGGACAAAAAATTTTCTTATTTGAGGTCAAACTAAGGAAAATGACAGAAGTGTTTTGGTACTAATAAAGTGTACCTTTTCTTCTGCTTAGTATACAGCAGTGCAGACTACAGTTTTCCAGACTGAAAGCCCCAAGGACATTCAAAGAAAGCCTGGGGAAAGCAGGGGGGGAAAAATACTCCTTTGCTTAGCCACTTCCACTTGCAATTTGGTTTAAGCCCAGCTGCTGGCAGTTCATGAAATAGACATGAAAGTTTACTTTGTGAGGATCTGAAATGGTAATGATTCTGCAAATAAGAAAACTGTCCTGTTGTAATATTTAACTATCAATGTTCTCTTGCTTTGGTTATACAGGTGAACCAAGAAGCAGAAAAAGTATCCTCTCCCTTGAAAATACTTGTGTAAGAAGTAATGGCAAAAGAGCTATTAAGACTCCTGTGGTGCTTGGAAGTGAATGCTAGACATTTACCTTTGATACCTTCTTTTCCATATTCTTCCATTTTCTTCTCACATTAAATGTGACATTTTGACCCAGCATTGTTGTTGCAATGTTATTGTATGCTATTAAAGAAGAGAGAAGGGATTTCACAAAAGCAGAGAAGTAATTCATATGTATTAGTTAGCTTCCTCAGAAGAGGGTGACAGGGCTTCACTAGTAAATTGTATTAATACCTGTATGAGAGCTATTACAGGAAAATACAGAAGTGTATGTTTATTACCATTCCCTGGTAATACTCATTGATCCTAGAAGTTTATTTTAACCCTCTTGTTCAGTTTAGGGGCATTATAGTCTCCTGTGCTGTGAGCTGCAATATTTAAAACCTCATTAAGCCTATGACCTTGCACTTAACCTGTTTGCTCACTGTTTCCTTCTCTGTGGTAGCAAAGTATTTATGTGATGGAGGTCACTGTATTATTATTGAAATTCAGCCAGCAGTGCACAACCCCACCACCCTGTCCATGAAGAAAAGATGCACAGATCCAAGATCAGGACAGAGACGTTGACTGCATGTGAGAATGTCTTTCTTGATGCTGTTGTAGGCAGTCCTACCAATGCCCTGTTATCATGATATTCATGGAAAACAGCCTAGAATTTGACTGGGCAGTAGAGCCACATACCCAGAAAAGACTACAGACCTGACCATAGAATATGTACACATTTTGGGAGAGACTTATGGTTTAAGGCTCTTCAGAAACATTGGTGACAATGCATATACCATCTTTATTAAATATTGACCGTTTGTATTCTCCTCATATTTTGATAGCTTGCTCTTATCCATTATGTTTTTGTCTTGTTTACTATAGAAGACAAGTAAACATTTAAATGTTTAAATTATTTAAATGTTGCTGAAATTTATCCAAATACCATTTAAGAGCCATGATTTCTTAAAAGAATTATATTATTCCCAAAGTTGGAGTCAATGAAACACAGCTCTGTCAGTCCATAAGCATTGCATGACTGGAGAACAATTTATGGTGCAAATAGTCCTCTGCCCTGGGTCTTTCACAGGGCTTTACTCAATTCTGTCAGGGACAACAGCACACAGCAACAGAAAGTGCTGTAGTGAGAACGAAAGGAACCTGCACCACAGAGTGGCCCATGTACAAGTTCTGGCCAAGGTAATCAACCACCCTTCAAAAAAGCTTGAATTCTTCAGGTGTCTGCATTATGACAAAATCCACTGGATGCTCCCATCCATTTCTGTTTGAGAGACAAAGTTGTGTAATAATGATCTGAATAGGAGCAATGCTTTATCTGAAGTATTATATGCAGTAAAAACAGTGCAAAGGAACACCCTAGGACAATATGCTAATATAGTTCACTTCTGGAAATCACTTGTGGCTGATTGCTTAATGAGAAACCTTACTGCTAAGATGAAACTGGCAGAATTCCTGTGTAATGATCTCCTGAAATCTCTAGTTAGTACTAAGCTCTGACTGCGTACTGACCCCTCTAGAAGCTCTCCCCAGCACACCAGGAAAGCAGGAAGTAACTGCTGGGATACGCATGTCCATGTTCCAGAAGTACCTTTGTTATTATCAGATACCCTAGGCCTAAAATTAGCCCGGTTTTAAACTTAGATATGGCAATGGCAAACTTTACAATGGCTCACAAGCCAACAACTTCACTTTTCACAATTTCAGGCAACTTTATTGTTCAAAAATATCAGAACTGGCTTTTAGGCAGTGAAATATTGCTCTCTGGTTTTGATATTCTGGTATCTCGACAGTGGCACCAAAATACACAGACATTGTCCCATTTAAAAGACACGTAAGTGTGGAAAACATCCACATCCTGAGGCATTGCACCTCACCCTCAGTCCCAGCGCTCCTGTCCAAGCCATCAACATAGAATCAAATTGTCTTCAAGTTGCAACTGTACTTCATATCTCAACAATGTTGCTCTACGTATACAATGATTCACCTAATTATCCACCCACAGCTAATAACAGAGAGGGGTGGAAATTTCTTAACTTTTTTTTCACAATTATGAAGACTCATTCTTAAACTCATTCCCATGTGAGTGGGATGATCAGCTTGGTTAAATTTAAGACGTTTAAGCTGATAGCGTGAATCTGGGAAACTCATCGCTTCCTTGAGCCATGACCTGTGTATCTTTTCTAGAAGAGCAAGAGGCTAATGAGACAGAACCGAAGATAATAAGCAAAGAACCCTTATTAAACCCAAGTTTAGTAGTGCTGTTGCCAGATGAAGAATTGTTTCCACCTGGTGAATTTTTGCTAAGTGTCATTATGACCAGTAAAAGTTTTTTGTTGCCAGAAGAGATTTTCGTGACTGTGCATTTGTTCATGCAGGCAATAGTCAGTATTGTTATAATTTTTTTTTTTTTTTTTTTTTTTTAAATGGCAGAGCTAGCATCTGCCAGATGGGAGTTGAAAGTGACATAAGTGGGCTAGGAAATCAGCAATCATTGACATGTGTAGTAACTGCTGAGGAACAGATATGCAGTTGTGGCCATCCAGAGGCATCAGTGTCATTTTGACACCTGACACACGAATTTCTAGACAGATTTGGTTACTTGACTACTCGTTTTTCAGCATTCAACCATCAGGGAGCATCCAAGATGGGCCAGAAGCAGGAGGACAGGCTGTCTCCAGAGCAACAGGGAGGAGGGAAAGGGAAGCAGTGGCTGCACAGTTTGCAGCACATGCTCGTTCATCTCCTGGTACCTGCAGAGCACAGACAGGCCCTGCTGCTGTCCGTGCAGTGTCCCAAGCCCTGCTTGGGGACAATTATAATTTATAATGTCCCCAGCCATCCCTGGGACGGGGGATGAGGCACCGGGCAATGGCTGCGGAGTGGTCCCATGGGGAATCTCGGATGTTAGGGCTGCCAGCGCCCGCAGGGCACCGAGCACAGGCGGAGTTTACTGAACAGCTTCTGGCAATTCCGAGAAGCAGGCAGCTTGAATTCCAGTTTGATCTATTGTGTGTTCATGAAGATTAATCAGCTTTAAACCTAAGCTCATAAGCCAAATGCAGCATACACCAACACTGTTGTATTTATGTTTCATTTACGCCAACAGGATATTCCTTTTTTTCTCTAGTCAAAAGTCAGCAAGGAAACACTTGACTCCCATTGGCATCTTTCATATTAAAAAGAATTTATCTGTGTAATACCTGGGTCTTGTAGAGGATAGCTTAAGGGCATGCTTCACATAAAGTGCTTGACGATTCTGAACTCAACAAGGCAGATTTTTTGTTTTTAAGTCCACCGTTTATGACTGAAAAGATGATGAAACCTTCGTGCCCCGAGGAACGCGTTGACCCTAGGGTTGTCCTGTGATCACGGTGGGAGGCCGAGGCAGCTACATGCCGCTACCTCCAGAGAAAGTGGGAGGTGATGATGGGGTAAGGGGATCCCGACTGCGGCACCGGACCCCGACTGAGGCACCAGCCCCGGCCCGTCGGCGCCCGGCGTCCCCAGGGCAGGGCCAGGCCCGGCCCCTAGAAGGGGCTGTGCCCTCACTCAAGATGGCGCCTTCAGCGTGTCCGAGGGGCTCTGACGTCATGGCTGTCACCGCCCAATGAGTTCCGCCGGCAGCGGCATCCGTTTGCCCTCAGTGAAGATGGCGGAGCGCGGCGCGGGGTGCCGGCGGCTGCGGTGAGGGTCAGTGTGCGTGGCCGGGCTGGCGGCGGCGGCGGCGGCTGTGGCTGTGCAAGCAGCGCGGAAAGGTCAGGCGAGGGGAGAAGGAAGCAAGCAGCGCGGAAAGGCGAGCGTCTGCAGCCGGGCGGGGGAGAAGGAAGGCTCCCCGCAGCGCGGCCGCTTCTGGGGAGCCGGGCACGTGCGCGGCCATGAAATGGCGGCGGGGCCTGGCGCCGGCTGCAGGGCTGGGGGTGCCCCGCTTGCCCACCGCAAGTTGCGGGACCCCAGCCGGCTGGGTCCCAGCGCCCTGGCTTCTCTGAGAGCCGCGGTGTCTCCGCAAGGAAGTGCCCGTGTGTTCTTACAGTTGGCAGCGAAGCAAATGAATTAGCTGTGAAACGCTTCTCGACGTTTTCTTAATAGAAAAAAGATTAAATAACCCGAAAATTTCTGCTTCCCACTGCATCAGCACTTGCTAATTCTTTATTCAAAACATAAAGTACTGTTTCTCCTTTATAAGATCGTTAAGTATTTGGTATAATCAGAAAACTGTAAATCAAAGGTGAAAGTACTTCCCAGTTATTAACTCTGCAAGTGTTAACCTGCGTGTAGTAAATTGTGTGCACAGTACAGATATGTAAAGTTGTGTGTATACATACAGCTCGTTTTTGGGCACCACATGGAGGCTGTATGGGACTATTTGTCAGCTGCTGTTGGAAGCAAGTCATAAAGGTGTTTCTGCCAGCTGTCCTTGTATTGGCAGTATTCATAAATGCTGCGTTGGCGTCTATATGTGTGTGTCAGTGCCATAAGATGGGAAGGAGCTATCATAAATTGCCCTAATATGTCTCAGAACTTACTTTACAAACAATGATCTGACTGCCTTTTCTTGACAGATGCACCCCAGTGGCACACAGCACCGAGTTCCCATGTACAGCTTGAATAATCAGCTCCATACCTGGCTTCTCTTCAGAATTCAGTTTTTTGCCAATACTTCTAGTCTGACATTCACCAGAGGCACTTCTGAGAGTTTCTCCCTTTTTTTACCATATAAACAGGAGTCATAGGTCACTGCTGTTATGTCCTGGGTACAAGTGGCAGTCAGGCAGTCCAATGAGGATATATTTGATGAAGATGCAGATGAAATGTGTCTACTACAGAAGGAATGGAACAGCACTATGAAAAAGAGGTTGAAGGTATTTCTGTAAAAAATATTTAATATACTTTTTAGTCATTTTAGATTTACTGACATTTAACTTGGTATACATGTGAATGATTCAAAGGGAAAAGTAAAAGCAGCTGCTTAAAAGTTATTGTGGCAAACTTTCTTTTGAGTATTAGGAAAATACGGCAGAAATTTACATAAACACTTCTTAATAGTCGCCAGAGCAAAGTACTGTTTTACCAAAAGACACTGACTCCTTCTGCACAACATGTGTGTTTATAGAAGGCAGTGCTGAATTGTGATGCAAGCTACTTGCTTTGTACTTGTAGTTATACCCCTAGTAAATGAAGGGCAACAGAGCTGAACAGTGCAAATAAAGAAATGTGAGATGTTTGGGGTTTTGAGTAGAGTTACTCATCAGTCAGAATGTAAGATGTGTGACTCCATGTGCAACCACAACTGGGCGTTGTGGTCTGTGTAAGTCTTTGGTTTATTTATTCTCCAAGTGAAATATATATTTTATGAAAGCTGCTTTCCACAGCCCTTGCCTCTCTGCAGTTCTGCAGTAGATTAGTTGAACAGATATTGTGTCATTCAGAGTGGAGCCAGTAGGGCTCCTCTGCTCACAGTTGAGCAGCGTTTGGCTGAAGAACATGGATGGAAACCATAGGCAGTTGTATAGGCAGTTGATGAGGAATGGTATTACAGCAGACTTGGTGTCGTTTCTTTCATCTGAATTCCATGAAAAGACTGGTTTTCTTAAGGAACTGTTTATTGTTCTTACAGAAATCCCACTGATATTTTTGAGTAGATGCTGCAAAATCATGAAAGGTTATTGAGGTTAGAGTTGTATGTTGGGGAAAATAAATTTTTGTGCTCCAGACTACTTTTCCACCATGAACAAATAAAACTTTCTGCTTTTGTAGCCTGCAGTTTTGGTGTGAAAAAATGTTAAGAATTATTCTATGTAACCTTGTAATGTGGTTACAATATAAAGAAAGTAATTTGCATTACATCATTAGCTGTTTATTTAAAGAAAGCAGTCCCAGTGTTAAGTGTATTTATATGTGACTCAGTCAATCACGGTCTCTTTTTCTGCTATAACTCTTAAATGGAGCAAGGTCCAGCAAATAAAGTAAAAATGCTCAGCAATTTGTTTTGTGAAAATAAATGGATTCCATGTAGATGGATTACAGATAGAAGAGCGCCTCTACTAAAGGGGAAGCTTGATATATCTTTTTAGATTGAAAAAAAAGAAGTCTATGTGGTACTTCTAAGTGCATTTCTCACAAAGGAGTTGGTAATCATTAAAAGCAAATGTGCTTTTTTTTTACTCTTTCTAAAAGAAATTTCCCTCTTCTCACTTTCTGGGGAAAGTAAAAAACTGCATCTTACAGGTCAGTGAATCATGGTATAATGCAACAAGCACGTTTTGGTTTGGCAGTGGGGGTGTAGCTGTAAAGGATGTTCAGATATAGAAGCTGTAACTTGAGATTGAATATTTGTGATACTTGTTTAAACTTTTTTATTATTACCGGTATGTATTTGTTGGAGGTCAACTTTGTTATGTTGTGAGCAACCTGTTTCACTGCTTTTGTTGCAGGAAGGCTATAGAGATGGAATTGAGGCCGGGAAAGAACTTGCACTTCAGACAGGCTTTAATCAAGGTTACAGACATGGTGCCAAGCTGATGATTACATGTGGCCAGTTCAAAGGAATCCTGAAGTAGGTTACAAACTCCTTAAGGTCAAGTATAGGTGGAGGATGTGTAACAGGGGAACACACATGCAGGTTTTTGTTTGTTTTATTCAAAAAACCAAACCAACCAACCAAAAAAAAACCAACCAAACAAAAAAAACCCAACACATTTTGAAACTGTTTGAAGTGAGCAACCTGAGAATTCCCGCATCTTGAGAACAGGGAATACTTACCTGGGTGTAGAAGCATAATTTTTAAAAAGTCTCTTTCAGTTGCTCTTACAAAATTGTCTGAATCTAAGTATTTAGCATTTAGTTCTGCTGCTTGAATTTTTCATAAATCGTGAATTATACCTAAATATATTTATGATACATAGATACTTTGTCACATTGCTGTCTACCTCCACCAAGTGGAGATCTGTTTAGATGAATCTAATCACTTTTGTTGTTGTTCACTTTGCAGTGCTCTCTTATCCTGGTGTCATTTAAATGGACATGATTCTGCCCTAAGTACCATAAATAACCTTCTTGATGTGGTTAGAAAGCACGAAGATGATATGCTTAAGTATCTGAATTCTACTGGAGAACAGCCGCATCTTGGACACATTTTAGCCTCAGTTCAGGACATGGACCTTAATCACACAGCTGGGACAGACTACAGGGAAGTTAAAGATGGAAAGCATGAGGACTATGGCAGCTCTGGTGAAAACATTTGTAGGAATAATGGTGAGGTTGGTTCCTTGCAGTCAGAGTGCAGCAAGGCAAACCTCTTCACAGATCCTGAAAAGTCAACGCTTGCTTGGGTTAAAAAGCAGACTGTTTTGTTAGTAGAGCAACTGGGCTTATCGCTGGATATACTCCATCATGTTCAGCAACTGGAACATTAGTTTTTCTGTCTCGTGGTACTTAAAACTATCTCAGCTGATTTTGATTCTTGGTTTGTGGTCCGTGTACAGGCTGATGCATCACTTTTGCTTTAGGAAAAATTAATTTTGGTGCTTTACAGTATAATTAATTTTTATAAATCCGCACCATGATTTTGGCTTTGGGCAAAACCCTTGACTTTCAACCTTAAAGGTCACAGTCACAGAAAGGGGCAGTGACTTTAAAGCTTTACAGAGAGTTACTGAACATATTTCTGTTTTGTGTCAGGAGGTCCCATTTCACCCTCATTTTTTTCTTGGCAGCAGCTTGGAAATGAAGTGGGTCCATTAAATAGCCCCTCTAAATTGGGCCCCTGCAATATCAAAAGAATAAATACTCAGTGCTATGGAAATGGTCAGTGTTTTTGCAGAATAAGCTGCTATTGATGATATGCTGTGTGTGAAATAGAACGTGGTATGCTGCTGATTCCTAGAGTGCGGTGACTCTAGTCGCTTTTTGTCAAATTCTATGTGTTATCTTTTCTACCCATGATGCAACGCACTTTCACAGTTAAAAACTATTTTTTCCTCCTTATACAGTTATATTTGTCACTTTTGCTGAAAACGAACATCACTTTCCTCAATACAGAATTGCTGACAATTCCATTGTTTTACCTTTAGACATCTACTCTTACCATGTCAGACCACACTAAACATGCTTCCAGTCTAATGAACATCCATTTGTTGTTTCTTTTATTTATTTTGTCAGTCCATCTAGCCTGCACTCTTTCCCACATAATATTTTTCTCAAACTCTTCAAGGAAGCCAAGCTTATTCACTACCTCTTAGAAACACATCAGCCTCACACACCTATTTCTGATTATTTTATATTTCTGTAACTATTCTGTATTTGACTTCCTTTTCCATTGCTTCCCGTCACTGTAGCTGTAACTGCAGAAACTACTCTGTTCAGGAACTTTTTTCTTTGTGAATGCCTCTGTTTTACATTAATTAAACTGATTTATAGTATATTCCCAGCTTACTTGTTGGAAGTTCCTTGTAACTCATTCATATTGGAGACAAAGAAAGTCCAGACATAGGCAGAGTAAGATTTTGAACAGTAAACAATAATTTTAAAAGAAATCACAAAGCTTTTATACTTAGAGGCAAGAAAAAAATCTAAGGTAAAAATTCCTTGTTTTTCAGAGCCTGAGTTTATACAAAATTCTTACTAAAGACTCCGTTACCCTGTCAGAATTGACAGACTGTAAGTTTGGTTTCCTTTCAGTATCACTTCTGGTTCAGGGGTAAGCAGAACTGCAATTCATATTCTTGGATTGAATGCATTTATGAAATAGTGACAAAGAGGGGTGTCTGCATTAATTGTGTATATACAAAAATCGTTCAAGTAACTTTTTCTCAATTTATTTAGCGTAATATTGACATGGATAAACATTGCTTTTCTTTAAATGCCTGTCTTGTGTTATAGACTGTATCCTGTATGCTAAACACAGATTTCTTCCATATTCGGGTAGAATATGGTGCAGACAGTGTTGGAATATATATATATATATATAACTTCCCTAACTAATTTTTAATTAGTTGTTTTAACTAACTCAGCAGTGCTCACTTTTCGCCAACACCAGTTAAGTTTCGTCACAGACTTACTTTGATCATTAAATCACTGAAACCTTAAGTTTTTTAAAACTAAGCCTGACAATCTTCAATGAACAAAGCCAAAGGAATTTGAAGATTGGGCATCTGGGATCTTAAATTTATGGCCATTCAAGGACCTTAGAGTAACCAGAAGATGTAGTGGAGATTAAGGCCTGGAAAGTTGGAGGAAAAGATGAAGGAATAAAAGATGTGGACCAGATTAGCATAAAGAGAAAGAAATCAGTAACTAATAGGGGTAGAATACTAATTAATGAAGAGAATTATATAAATTAAACCAATGGACATTATTGATTTTGTTCGCAAAAAATGCATAAATAAGCAAAAATTTTTGTATTGCGGTCAGTGTTGAGGCTGGAACTTTGTCAGCCACAGATATCTCTTGACCAAGAATAAAGTAATGCTTGCCTTCTAACAATAAAAAAGACAATGTTAGAGGGAATCTTATTTACCATTATGATTTTTGAGGTTTTCAGTAACAAGACAAAATAAAGGTTAATAGAACACTGTTAGACTTTACAGATTTGGATGTTTAAAAACACAGATTTAAGGGAATTACTTTCCCATATTTAGAAGTTTGCAAAGAGGAGATAACCATTCACAAATTACTAAGTAGGCTTTATTTTTATTTACAAAACCATCAGGTTTTTTGTCTATTACATCAGCTTCTCTACTAGCTGTGGAATTACTTCCCTCCACAAAGTTTCAGTGCATAGGGAGGGGTTACTTTTTCCCCATGTTATTACCCAGAGTTTCCAGTTTGGCTGTAAAGATATTTTCTTCTGTACTGTCTGTATTATTTAGCTTATCTGTCACTACCCAGTCTTGCTGACCAGCCCCAGAAAGGCTTTCTTTGAGACTGTTAGAATCTGTACTTTGCTCCGATTGTTGCCCAGGTTGTTCTTCTGTGTCCATGTCATGAGTTTCACTGTCAGCTTTCACCTTGGCAGCATTCCTGAAAACAGCTCTCATGACAACTGGGACTGACATGCAACTGAAGAAGGAAATGACACATTAGTCACTACAGACATAATACATTCTTTAAAGTACTTCTGTTTTTTAAACTGTGGCTGACACCTGAATGAGAACCAGCATTACCTCCTTTCTGGTTTTGTCTTGTCAACCTGGTGTTACTTTGTAACTATAATATAAACTACATGTGCTGTACCAGAAATATATGTTGACACACTGAAATCTGCTGAGTCCTTGAAGTTAGGTATGCACAGAAGTTTTGAAAGAGTGGGAGGTCTTTTAGTCTGGTCAATCCGGTCAACAAAAGAAAAAAGTCATAAGGGTGATTCTGGTGAAAACCAAAACTAAGAATATTGAAATATATACATTCTTCTTGAGTTTTATAAACCTTCATGTTTTGTGTAACACAGGTACAAAAGGTTTATTTTCTAAAACACTATCTATACTGGAGGAGTTTTTTTCCCACTCTTAACCAGGTTCCAAAAACAGTACCTAGTTTAAAATCAGGTTCAAAATTCAACCTGCATTGGTTTTGTTGTCATCAAACAGATAATAGTTGTGTACTAACTTATGCCAAATCACTTAGTGCTCTTAGGCTGTGTTCTGAATCAGTTTGTCTAGCCTATGTTCATGTATCACAACAACTTGCTCTCTTGGAATTTGTTCAGAAAACAAGCCAGAGTCAGTGTTGTAGACATGCCGTATACAACTCATCTTCTGAAGGGAACCACTGATTGCTATTAGGCAGATGTGTAAAAAGACCTTTCCATGCTATTTTAAGTTATGCTAGACATGAAACTGTCATCAGCTAGAGTCTTCAGAAAAGCATCTTTATTAAAGGTAAAACTTCACTCAATAGTCTTTCCTTGCCTCCACATGCTTTCTGCTAGAAACACTTCTTCACTGTTAATGTTTACATTTTTTGAAAATGATACTTAAGACACTGAAGTAACTTATTCCCATTATTGTATTACAGTTTTACATATTTTACTAGAGTGAAGTTTTCCAGTTGCTGAGTTCATGGCATTATGAATACACATGAAATTTCCATTTAATGGACATCTGTTAGGAAATGAAAGTACTTACCGTTTCACAGCTCTTGCTATGAAGTCATCAGTAGAATTTAAAGTTGGATCTTGAGGATTTAAATGAAGGTGACACTGGACTTCTCTAGAGGTTATAACATCAATTACCACTAAGAAGGAAGAAAACAGAAAAATCTTTGTTTTGAAATACTTACAAACATCAAAAACCATCCTTTCATTTTGATGCTTGAAGAGATGTAAGACTGAAGCCAGTGGAAAAAGGTTTGCAGCAATATATTTGCATGACTTTCTTTTCCTTAATATACTTAAATCAGAAATAGTGGAAGTTACAATTTATTAATTAAATACAGGCCAAGACACAATATTTGCATTTACTTTCTGAGTATAGAACACCTCCTAGTAAGTTTATACACAAGTGCATTCACTTTGTGTTTTTTTCTGGGCTGCATGCTGTTAAGTGGCCCTTAGACTTTGCAACTGAGAAACATAGTGCAAGAGCCTAGATAGAACAAAGTCCCCTGTCAGCTCAGTAAAGAGGACAGTACCAATTATTCTACACATACCACAGGCTAAATTCTTTTTCACAGGATGAAGGAAAAAGACAGAAAAGCTGGTGTTCTTGTATGGTACCACTTCAAAGTAAAGCAATTCTGAATCATCTAGAAATAAAAATACTGTTTAGTGATACGCACCATAGAAGTTGGGTTCATTTTGGCTGAATTACATGCCAGAATTTAAGAAATACTGATACAATAGTCTAATTTTTCATTACTTTGACAACTTAGTTTATGTGCATAGAATTTAAAAAAAATCAATACAGTGTTAAGAATTTTTTATCACTTACAGTACTCCACAAGTAATGACAGTTTTGGCAAGGGAATAGTAAAATCTATCAACACCCAATTTAGAAATTAGTTTGTCTCTAATACTGTGCCGTCACTTGCAGCCACACAATTTACCTTCATTTATATGCTTCTCGGAGACACAGCTGCTAATAAGAGTGTTATATGCCACTTGATGTCGAAGAATCTCTATTACACCAGGCACACACTTGGGATGGCTAAATGGGATTTTACTGACCAAGGCTCCTGCTAAACCTGGTTTTTCTGAGCCCTTGTTTATGAAGTAACAATGCTTTGAGCAATCTGGAAGAGACTAAGCAACAAATAATGGTGATGTTTCAAGGACTGAAAACAGGAAAGTAAAGCTTGATGTTATCAGGCAGTTGTACAATCTACAGCAAAAATATTTTTGAAAGATACATTTCTTGCGTGTCTATGGTAGCTCTGCATTTCCAGCAGAATCCTTAGCGGAAGCTAAATGAGATCCACTCTTCCCTCCCAAAAAGATCCAAATTAGGCAAATATACCCAGAGCCAAGTGGTCAGGAGTTCCAAGTGTCATCAGTTCTTCCAAATACTTTTCAGAGCCCTGTAGGCTATAAAAATGTTAGTGACCAAAATAATAATATACTAATGCTGCTGGACAATTGCACAAACAGGATAGCAGTTTTGCTGTAAATCTCTTCTGGACATCAGATGTTGTTCCAGCCTCTATCACTACTACTTTTTCTTGTAGTTGCCCTGTACATAACTCTGTCACAAAGCATCTTAGCCACAACTTTCTGTTCTAAAACTTTACATCTAATGCAGCCTAAACAACTCTATTTCAATAATGCAGTTATTAAAAGGAAAGCCTTCTTCAGTTAAACAACCTTGTCTCTAGATAGCAGTTGGCATCACGGTTGTAACACTTTATATTTTTCTTCCTGCCAATCCCTTTAAAAGTAATCAATAGTCCCAGTGTTACGTAATTTAAAAAATAATTTTTGTTAAAACAGCGTGACATGCAGCATCATAAAGATCTTCAAAAATCTAGGTAAGTATACCTTCTTGGGACTTGTTCCTCCCACCAGTCAGTAAGTTTCCTTCCTTTTAAGGCATTAATAATAAAGTTCTGATCAGTTTTTAGAAGAATATTTGGGTTACACACAAACAAATTAGTGTGACTTCAGAAACCAAGCACACAGTGTTTTATTAATGAGGATGAGAAGCTCACTTACATGAAAGGCTCTAATACTGCTTTGTAAATTGAACTATTTCCTAAAGAGGACTTTTGTTGGGATTCTGGGAAACCTACATTGCTTGCTTATGAGGAAATAGTAATTCAGTATATATATCTTGCACAACAGCACAGTGTCTATCAGATGCACACTATACTTACCACAAAGAAACAACATTTATTTGTAGACAAGTCTTCACTGCATTTTTCTTTAAGTGTAGACTGAACAATTAGCTCATACAGTGGAGCTAGTTTCAAGCCAGAAATCTGAATTCCTGAAACCAGGTCATTATTTTTATTAGCAATTAGATTAAGACAGTAGGTTATGAAAGCTACTATTAAAAGCAAACCTAATGTTTTGAAAAGACAAAAATATTGATTTTCTTTCTTATTCCCTTTTTTCGCTATTGGGAATTTGAGGTAGTGTGTTTAACTTTGCCTAATTGTCATCTCTTTCTTAGAACTTTTCTGTTTTGCATTGGTGTTACACTTGGACTGGTAGAACAGAATATGTTCTGCCCAAGAAGCAATATCTTCTTTCAACTTTAACATGGGGAAGCAAAAAGCAAATAAGCAATGCATAATCACAGAAGTACTTAGTCTTAAAAAACAATTATAACATGCCTGTGAGCTTCTGTATCTCTTCAATACTGGATGAAGACATTGGAACAGGTTGATGAAACTTCAGAACAAAATGAGCAGGCAAATCCATGCTGAGTTCATCAGTCAGTTGCAAAAAAGAAGGGTTGCTAGGAAAAAAAATTGTCAGAATGAATGTTTTTTTACGGAAATTGCCATAACAAGGACTCTTAGTACAAGGCCACTGTTAGGTCCCTAGCAGTTTATTATGTTCCATATTTTTTCTGACTTGAAAAGCGTTTTGCTTTATAAATGCAACTTTAATAGTTTAAAACTTGGTTAATGTGAAAAATGACAGAAAGGAAAAGTGAGACACAGAAACTGAATGGTGTTTTTTGCAAATAATTTTAAAGTACTTTAGTTCGTAAAGTTACTTCAGACTTCCCCTCCAGACAACACTGAGGTAGAGAGAGATGAGATGTCAGTACCCATAGTGGGATGACAAACTATTTCTGTGTATTTTAGGTGTAATATCTTTCAGTATATACTTTCTTTACTGTGAATCTATTAAGGACTTGCTTGTTGAATACTAGGAAGTTCAGTAATATTGTTTCAGTGTCTCTTTCTGGCTTCAAATCTATGAATAAATTCATAGTTCAATGCAATTGACACAGTTAAATATGAACACAATACTTTTGAAGTCAATTTGAGTAAACCATAAAAGCCATAGATTATAGACGGTGTAGCTATGGAGCATAAAGCCATAAATAAAACAGAACTTCCTGTTTCAGCAGAGGCTAAATCTAAGTTAAACTGAAGTCAGTGCCAGTGACTTGTAAATCGATTTCTGTATTGACAAGTGTCCAGAGCTTACCTGTCCTCTCCAGTTTGAGGTTCTATAATTAATGGAGAAAGAGGCAATTTGTGGAGCATATCTGTGCCTTCAACAGTTACAACGGTTTTTGTTCCACATACCTCGGAACCTGAGGGAGAAAGAGAATGGCATTATTTTCCTTAATTTAGTGTATATTAATCCTATGCATGCAAAATATAAAATGGTAAGGACTTGGAAGGTCAGGTCCAAGTGACAGCCACAGTGGTGTGGGCAGTGAAGTGTACACTGACCAAATCCAAAAGGCCAAAGTTGCCCAAAGATGATAGCAGCAATAGCTGAGTCAACAACCAAGACATGGAAAGTAGTTTCCTGATGGACATTAAAACTGTGCTAAAATGCATCACATAAACTGTTCTACTAAACTAGAATTTTAAATGTTAGTTCTGAGCTTTAATTAATTAAATTTTCTTAATAAAACAATTAACTAAATTTGCTTTAGTATTGAAAAATTCTTGTTAGCTATTTCTGCTGAAACAGCAGAATAGCTGAAATAGCTTTACCATGACTTAGTTCTGCTTCCAAAACTTGGTAGGGAGAAATGTAAAATTCAATGTTCATTGGGGTTCCTGTGGAATAAAAAATTAATGGTTACTACACAGGTCAGTAGAGGAAATATGTTGGGTGCCTTGACACAAAGGTGAAAAAACCAACACTGTGATTGGGTAGAGGGGATTCCTTGTAAAAGTACATCTCTATTTACAGTATCTGTTCAATATATGTTCTTTATATCTGTATGTTATCTGAGAATACAGGCACAGTAAGTCCCTACAGCAGGTTTTATATATAGTAGAGGATCTTTCCTGTACACAAAGATCAGCTCAGTGTGTTTTGATTACAATTCTTTGAATTCAGAAGAGAGAAAAAAAAAAAAAAAAAAAGGGGGGGGGGGAGAAAAAGAAAAAAGGGGGGAGGGGGAGAAAAAAAGGAAAAAAATCACCTCCAGTTCTTGGCACCAGGTGTCCTACTTTTCCATTAAGCACTTCAGTAACTCTGTTTAGATCCTGTGTTCTATTTCAAAACACATCTTAATTAGTGTTTCCTGTATTGCAGTGCTAGCCAGATTCATGTAATTTCTAATTTGTATCCTTAATCAAAAGAAGACAATGTTTTCTTGGAAGCAGATTGTATGTCCAGCATCCAAAAGACCACAACTCTACACATTAATTACTTCTGGGACTTGGGTCTCCACTTCCCCTGTATCAGAGCTCTCTCATGTTGCACTTTGGTGTGCTATTTACCAGAAATTAAGGGGGTCACAAATATTAGATTAGCAACTGGTTGAACAAAGAATTAAGAAATAACCTGGATAAACTAACTTGAACAGAACCTCTCTCTGACTTCAAGGGTGTTCATATAGATGAATACATACAGCCATACATTTATATAGCTACGTACTAACTCTGCAGTGCATTGACTTACAGCATAGATGGGAAAAATAATCTATTTAACTTATAAATAATATTTACTGAGAAATCAGTGATCAGCAGTGATACAGTACATTAGTTCATAGTGTTATTATGCTTCATAAGGGAAAAGTGCAAAAATAATCCAAGAGGGTGTTTCAAATTACAGGAGGCCATGCCTGCCAAGGTATGTGTGTATGTAACTTAGTAGGCAAGATATCAGAGAAGATATTTCAAAAATCCAGAAGGAAAGCATTGCCCCCACTCTGATTTATTGAAAATAATGAAAAACCTTATATAATTACTAAAATGTTTAGGAAACTGTTCCCCATCTATCTGTAATCCTCCACTATATAAAGACAAATGAGAAAAGCTGGCATCCACTCCTCCTGATCTAAAACCTGAGGACCCAAATGAGATACCCAAACAGCAGAACCCCAAAAGGTCTATTTTACTTCTGCCACAAGGAGATCTAAACATGACTGCTGACTTTCAGACACACAGTTTGCTCCCAGTGTGTGGTCATGTGCACACACCCCCCCAAGCTTTGTAACCAACCAGTTTCTCAGGAAGTCCCTTAGATAAAGCACAGAAGTTCAGTAGATAGACTCATTTGCTTGTCTGGGGCTGACAAAGGCTTCAAGCTTCCCAGTGGGAGAAAACTCATTAGCCTTCCACATCCTGCCCTATAATTAGATCAGTTAACTTGATTTTTAGTGAAATGAAGGATTTGGGGTAGAGGTAAAGGGACAAAGACATAGACTATAAGTTACCTGTCAAGAAGAGACATTGAATAAAGGTCTTTTTCAAGGGCCTGCAAAGCAAGATATCCCTTAGCTTTCATTTCGCTGGGAGAGAAAAAAGACAATTTGTTATTTTTGTAAATAAATGAAAGTTAGGCTATGGATTTCAAAAGTTTTTGAGTAAAAAATAACTGCAACCTGTTTCCTGGAATTTGATACATATTTGACAGGTCTTCTAGAATCTTGCCAAAGGCATCATAGTTCTTCATCCTAACAAAAAGAAATAATGACTATCACACTACTAAATGAGATGGAAAATAACTCTTTTATAAATAACTTGATAGAAAAGGCATACTTTCAGAGTGACAGTGGCCCCCTTCATCAGATCAAGTAGCAGTAGTGACTTGAATTTTCTTAGAAGATACCAGAAAATGTGAACCTTTGGTTTTGTTGCAAGAAGCACTGTAATTATAGCTGAAACTGGCACTGAAGTAGGCACTACTGAAAGCAATAATTGTACATGAAATGCAAATTTGACAGCTCATCAGCTGGAAAACACTTTTCCTGATGTTCCAATAAAGCTAGTCATGTCGTACTGCTTCCCTAGGACCTTGCATGCATACATTGATCTTTTAATTAAAATATTAAAATTGTATTAATGCCTCACTTCACAGCACCATGTGAGACAGAACTTAAATATAACTGATAGATACATCAACCAAAAAAAAAAAAGTGGAGGGGGGAGGGGGGGACAAGTGATTTGGTTTATAAATTAATGGTTCAGATTGCTCAAACCCCAGAATTCCTGTGGATTTTGACTTGGTGTGATAGCGTGGAGCAGTGTTCAGACTAACCCACCAGGTAAATTACTCCTGTGCTTAAATAGATTTTACATGAGTTTTACAAGTCTTACTAGATTCTGGTGCTGCAGTCACACAGACTGCTCAAGTCTTTCCTTCCTTTCCTATGCAGATGTGGCTGCAGTGTGGATCGGCAGAGACAAATTTAGCCGGCCTGAACTTTTACATTGGGACAAATTCTTTCAAACCTGGAATCTAAACAAGTCACTCAGTTCTCCTCTTTCTCTTTCCAGCTAGATTAGTGAGGAAGCAAGGAAAAAGGAGGGAAGCAAGCATGTGTGGTACAGGAACAGACACAGCACTAGCCTATGCATTAGCTGGCTGGTTCATCTTAATTTTATACTTTGAGACTTGTGGGAAACATTACACATATTACAAACTGCCTTACAACCAAATAAAATACTACACCAAGAGGTGTAGAAGGGATACCTGTGCTTTGTCACAAATCTTAACAAAACCACGAAGGCAGAAAAGTAGCACCCCCAGTACCAGTATGCCAGTGCTCAGAGCCAAACTGCTGGCATTAACATCACTGGAAGTCAAAAATCTAGGAAAATGCAAGTTCAAGTTTTAAGTCATAGCTGTTTACACCCCTAAAGCTAATATAATTTCATTCCTGAGGAAAAAGAGGGCTGAAAAAACTGATAATGAATAGTACAAAAGAGAGATTAAACACTAAAGGTCAATGATTATTCTTTCTCTTTTTACCTTCCTTATCTATTATTTGGCCACAGTATTTAAATAAGAATCCAATTTCCTAAATATATTCATTATTATTAAAATCTGGAACCTTGATCATATTCACTGAAGAACTTGTAAATAGACTTTTGAAGTGGTGGCCTGACCTGGAACAGCAACTATTCAGACAGAACAAAATGTGGTAATAATAAATATATATAGTGCCCTACTGCTACATGAGAAAATTAGGGTCACATCTCCCCGCTATGTATTTGCAAAGAAACTCAGGCCATGTGATACCACCTTGTTTTCATTGTTGTGAGAGAAGCCTGAAGGACATGCAGTTAAAGTATTTGCATAAGGACAATACGAGGGCTATTTAGTATTTGATGGAAGGAGCAGAGGAAAAGTAATACCTAGTTTGTATGTGTAAATCTGTCAGTTCTGAATTGTCATCATCAGTCCATTACCAAAACTTTGGGTCCAAGTAGCTCTATAATTCTTGCAATCAAGAATAAGGTATTGCAAAAAGTATTGCAAGGCTTTGTTGACTGGCAGCTAGAGCCAACACATTGGGGATTACTCTTTACCCTTGCTCCATTGAAGCAGATGCATTCAATGGAATGACTTGAGAAATAAAAAATGCCTGGAGAATCTTTACAAAATTATATTTGCTGCTGTTTTAGCCTTGAATTTACAAATTTGGAGCAGATAATAATAGTTACAATGACAACCAACTTCCAATATGGAGGATTGGAACCAACTTCCCACAAAAAATGGAATCCAAAACAATGTAAGTTCTATTGTTTTCTGGATTCATATTATTGTTCCCTGCTTCTCTTTCCTTTTTCTTTTTTTTTTTTTTTTCCCTCTTCACTGTTTCTACTGGAATGGTTCTAGCATCAGGAATTCCTTTCCATTCCACATGAAACCGTATATGTGATTCTTTACCTGAGAAGCTGGACCAAATCATCACAAACCTACAGGAATAAGAGACAGGATTTTCATCTTTCTTGCCATTTGTGACACATCTTCTATAAGCACTTAATTAGTAATGATAAAGTTAATCCCCATTACTTTTAAATAGCTGTATGGTTAGCATTAAAAAAAAATCCCCAACACTCAAAACCAAGACTAACAGTGCAATAGTTAAAAAAATATTACTATAATAATTGGAAGAAATCATCTGTGAAAGAGGATAAAATTAACAGTTTGTTGATAAACTCTTTCAGAAAAAAAAAATTGCATCTTGGCCAGTTTTTCTTTCATTGGTTGTGCTAGAATTCTCTGAATATGCATTTTCATTCTAATGATATTGTCCAGCACTCATTGACCAACAGACCTGTGCTGGTTAAATGAGCAATCTGAAATTCCAGGACTGACTTCAACGAAAAATAATGGACAAAGTTAACTCCAATGTAATAATTGTAATAATGTAATAATTTGGCTACTTAGTGACAAGAAACATAGTTTATGTTCCCCAACCCCCACACAACAGCTTGTTGTTATATCTTTGACCTGAAGGGTTGTCTGTAATTCTGTAGCAACTGCAGAACATGATATGTGAACTTCAGGGTGATATTCTGTGAATAATTTAATAGAAATTTTGCCAGAAAAATATCCCCACTAGTAGAAATATATATACTCCTAAAGAAGGCAGAATAAAAGACAGTATTTAGCTCCAAGACATCCACTGAGCATATATATTGCACTACACCTTGGTGGGAAAATATTTTAAGCCCCTATTATTTACTCTATACTGGTAGCATTGAAGCATGAAAATAAAAATATTTATGTGCGATACCACAAAAATCTTGGAAGGTGAGTCTGTCAGCTGACTTTTACTGTAATACTTAGCACTAGAGTATTTAGTATCTGTAACTGAGTTGTAAGTTTAGGTGCAAGATTCAGATGCCTAAAGAGGTAGCTAGTGTCATGAACAGGTTTCCACGTGTGACAAGACCAAAAGGAAGTCAAAACCTTTCTGACATGACAGCTGGAAGCCAGGTAGGAGACTAAAGGGTCATGAGAGACAGAGACAATTAATTTTACCACAGGAGCTTCTTCAAAGTGAGCCAACTTTACATCCATCACATCTCCATCCTTCTCCAGCTGAATTTCTAGATAAAACATCATTGATGTTATGTAGCAGGCAGTCCCACTGGGGCTAACATGAACAGTAAGTCTGAGAAGGATGAGAAAAAGAAAAAAAAAAAAAAGCTTGTATATGTTAAAATTCTGTCACTTAAAAAAGGAAATGAGTATAGTTCACTTGGTCATGGGAAGAGACATCAGGGATGCTTCAAAAATAACTCTTCCTTGGCTCAGCTTCTGAAAACTAGGCATGTATTTGTGCTCTGCTGTCTGCATTTTAATGTTGGTCAGCTCAAAACTATTAACCTCAGTCTGTAGCTTTGGGATGTAGGCATTTATACCCTCTCTTTACCCAAAAACCTTCTCTACAACAGGCTAATCAAAATAGGCAAATACACACCTAGAATTAGAACAATGAGCTAAAAAATAACATTGTTGACAAGCCATCCAGATGGTATTCCTCCCTGGACTTAAGGCTCTGCTTGCTCATTTGCATTTATTCATTAACAAACTTACCCTTTTTGTCTGGCTACAAGTTCCAATATGTTCATCACAGAAAACATGGATTTAGCTGCAAAAACCAGAAAGGCAATTTAATCAAACTGCAATGATCAAGAAGTAGAACCAATATTTTCTTAATTTAAAGAATAATATTTAGGTAATGAGAAAACAATATCTCTTGAATGACTTGTCATTAATGACAACTATTATGATTAATAAGTGCTGTGTTGTGTAGAAAATATTCTCAGGCTTTAAGAATAGCTATAGCCTGAAGGCTTAGCCTTTAAGAATAGCTTAGCCCAAAGATGAGTTGCAAGTCTCTTGTCTCTTATCCACCTCTGTGTTTGTACATTTGACCTCTTCCTGAAGAAAATCAATAGAGAAGGATTGGTAGATTCCACACAAAATTAAAAAAAATGTACTTAGAGTTGAGCTCATTACCATTTAATGTCCTCTCTATCTTCTCCATGCATGAAAGCAATAGACCATCTGGAGCATTACTGACAGGCTTTCGATGTGGGTTATCCTAGCACATTCGTGAAAACAAGAGACAAAGAAAGATTCCTTAAATTACTAGCTAAGAGACACAGCACACAGATGCCCCATACTACAAACCTCTGGTTGTTTTTGTCAAAGACAGGGGTTACCTATAATTGGAGCGATCTCCAAAATGGCAGCACTAAATGGATTTGTGAAGATATTATTGTGCAGTAATTACAGACCAGATGTAATTGGTATGTAATTTGGAGTAAGGAGTGGCTTTCCATACCCCTGTCTTTTTATGTGATCACTAGATGTGTCAGCTAATTTCACTGTGAAGCTAAACTAAGAAAATATTTAATTTTTTTAATTTTAGAAAAAATCTGCCTGAGCGAATAGAACAGATCAGTAAGTGCCACAGGGGTACTTAGTTAGATTAGAATACAAGTTAGCTTGTGAAGCTATTCACTTCAGTAGCAAGCAAACTCTCCCAGTTTCTCTTCAAGCTCTTGCCTGAAAACTTCTCATACTTCACACTTCAATTAACAAAGAACACTCACTGCCGAAGAGTTTTCACTTTGTTCAAATTCAGGACATTGTTTTCAGAGTAAAGCTTGAATTCAGCATTAATAAAAAGAAGCGTGGAAACAAATGGGAATTTTTATACTGAGCTCACAGCAGTTGTGCTAATCTGCTCTTTATGAAGATCATTCTTAAATTAGCTACTGGAAGGGCAGGAAGCATGGAATGGTATATCACAGCAGCAGAAAGTCTGGATATCAGATTTCAGACCAGTTTCTAAAATACAGTATTTCCTCCCAGTCCTATAGGCAACAAATTGTCTTTACATACTATGAATATGATAATGATAATGAATGTAACTTCAATCAGTAGACATTCAGTACTAACTCCTGAATAGTTAAAACAACGTTAAAACAAGTTAAACCAATGCAAGAAACAACCCCTAAAGTGTTAAAATTAGGCAGGAAACTTTATAACCCATTGTTCTAAGACAAATGGGGAGCCAGGTTATACTAGGCACTAGGTTTTTCTGGGGATCTTTTGGTTGGTTTTGGATTACATGGGCTTTTTGGCTGGTTGGTTTTGCTTGTTTTTGAAAGCAAGTAATTTCTTAGCTACCTTGGAAACATACTCTTATACCACATATCCTTCTCTCACCTAACCTGTGATTCTTACCATGCAAAAATAAACAAGTTTCAGAGTTTCAGTCCATGGCCTTTGTTGGTATTTTAAATGCAACTGTTCCATTAAAGCATTTGTAGAAATAGCTGTCACAACACCTGAAAAACATGTCAAAATGTTCTAAATATAATGGCAACCAGAAATGCTGGAGGAGGACAAATGTAAAACCTTGCTAAGGTCATAGATGTTATGCTTCAAAGAAGGAATAAAAAATGTTTTACTTGAATTTTGCACATACAAACATCTAATTTTTGTAAGACTTTGACAGAAAAAGAGCAGGAGGAGATTTGTATAGGCAAATATTCTCAATATTAAATACAGGTATGCAGCCAAATCTTCAGTTTATTAAACAATTTGGCTTTCTTTACCTATGCATGATTTCTTATGTGTATTTGTTTATAAATACCAAGGCTTTGCCACAGACTTGAGATATCCAGATACACTCACCTAGAGCTCATTAAAGGTCACTTTAATTAGAGATAATTTTTTTATGATGAGAGTGTTAGGACATTAGAACAAGTTGCTCAAAGAAGTGGTGCATGCCCCCTTCCTGCAAACATTCAAGGTCAGGTTGGACAGGACTCTGAACAACATGATCTAGTTGAAGATGTCCTTGCTTATTGCAGGAGGGTTGGGGTAGATGGTCTTTAAGGGTCCCTTCCAACCCAAATTATCCTGTGCTTTTGCAGAGGATAATCTCAATGAAGGGGTACAACTTTTTTTTGTTTTGTTTTGTTTTTTGGGATGGCAAGGAATGAGAATGGGGCTGGGAGAAGGAATATATTCAGTCCATCATCTGTCTCCCTATAAATATTCTTTCTGGGCTTACACAGAATCCAGATGTACAAAGGAAGTTTTTTTTTCTGAGATGTGGTAGTTCCATAACCGCTACCTCCATCAGGAGAAAAACAGGAGTGAATTTCCAAATACATCAGAGTGAGACAGGCAGGAAGACTTCAAAGTTATTAATAAGAATAAATTGAGTCCCGCAACATGCCACCCACTTTCCTCTGCCCCAGAACCAGAAGAAATATTACAAAGGGCTTCTTTGACTTAATGGGCACAACAGAGCTGCAGAGATCTGGCCCCTTTGAGCCAGTGGCACTACATGGGGAAAGAGAGATGGACTTAGGAGAGGGATGTCGTTTTGCATACACCAAGAAGGGATACTGAGAAGGGACTGGCAGCTTCTTCCTCCTGCAGGGAAGATGGTAGAGCAGCAACCCCAACTCCCTATAAATCAGGCCACTTCAACCAGCTGGAGGAAGAGGAAGCAGTGGACCCTAACCAGCTCTTGCAAGCACACTCGCTGGGAACATGCCCCCACTCGCTCATGCCTTTATGCTAATAGAAGGGCTGCAACCCACCCTGTATCTCCATTCACACTGCAAGAAACCAAGCAGTGTATTTGTAGCAGTTGCAACACAGCGCCCAGGTGCTGTGCAAGGCAAAAGCCTTGCTCCTTCAAAAAACTGGTCCCCCGTGGTCAGTGTTTGAATTTGGGGCTTGATAAGCACAGCAATATCACCTCTGCTACTTTTTACAAGAGGTACCCTGTTAGCCATGTTCTTCCAGATCTAAGGCATAATGTCAATTCCCATCTTTTCAGAAGGTGTCGTATTCTCAAAGGCTGAATTTAACTGGGGGAGGTATGATAGTAACAATCACTCAGCAAAACAGGAAAGCATTCCAAAAGGGGGTTGTTCATCTTGCTTTTTAGTGGAGGGAGTTAAAAAAACAGTATTGATAATGTGTGCATTGTATTTGTACAAAAATGTGTATATTTTGTGGCCACCTCAGTTGCAGTCTGCTTGTACATAGGAATCAGTGAACAATGGCAGTGTGAGGTTCAAGGGTTAATCCTGGACCTTTGTACAGGCTCTAGCTCAAAATGTGGTTACTTGGGAACGTCCTACAGCAAGAAGAGCATATTTCCTACATAAACCCTGGGAGGCACTGTTTCAGGGTACCTTACAGCAAACCTTCTGCTTCCAGCTATTATCCGTCATGCTGCAGTGCCTGATATAGTCTCATACCACATAAAATAGAGTATTTTTGACTTGGATGTAGGAACCTGAGTAGAAATTAAGTAGTTCATTGGCCTCACTAAGATTACAGAAAAAAACTAAGCATGAGCCTAGGAATCCCAGGAGAAGTATATGTCAAAAAGTGGTATTTGTCTCCAGACAGGTGTCAAGCATACTAATTAGAGAAAGTCAATGCAGCTCGGTGTATTAAATATATTTGTACTTCAGCTTTTACAAAGGACGTGAAATGTGATGAAGTAAATTGATAATATAATTCCAAACTTGTGGTAAATCACACTTCTGTAAAATTATTAGTTTGGTGTATGGTATTAAATACTAATTTACTTTTTAACCTGACATTAGCAGTGAACACAGGTATAATCATAGCTATAATCATAAGCTTTACCTATTAATTGGTGCATGAATTTAAAAACATGTTTTCAGCATTTCTAGGGAGTCATTTTAGCTTAAGTTTGTTTGAACAATCTATTGAAATATTTTTTGCTGAGCAAGAACATGTACTATGGCCCATATAAAGTAGGTTGCCTCAGTCCAGATCACAGGAATGGGTATGTGCAAATATGACATACCACAGCTTGGCACTGCTTAATATTTTTGCGGCATTTTTCATAAATGTCTGTCTAGAGCTCTTTGGAGTCTCTGTGATCTTGATACTAACTACAGTGGTTTGATCATGTCCTGAATAAGCAGAAAAGTAAATTATTTGCTATCTTGAAGAGAACACTTCCAAAATAACAGAAGGATACAAGCCAAGGCTTACCTGATCTGCATAATAACTGTTCTGCATATAAACAGAGAAATTCAAGTTCAATTAGACACAGTATGGCTGATTAGTACAGTATAGCTGATAAGCCTAAAATACACTTTAACTTTTAAACAAAAAAAACCTTTTTCCATTGTGCTCAAATGTATGTATTTAGGTAAATGATTTTGCATCATTTTTCCAGGATAGAAATAGTACCAGATTTCCGTAACAAGACAAATATTACAAGATAATTATTAGTCTTCACATAAAATTGCAGGATTGGAAAAAATATTTTTCATATGAGAAACAGAAACTTAAGCATTGTCAGAAAGTTCCTCAAAACAAGGTGTTGTTCCAGTATTCAGAACTGTCATACTGAATTACTGCACTCAAGAGAAAAGTTATGAATTATGAATAATTTAAAATGTTATAAATATAGCTTCTCAGGCATATTAAATACACAAATATTTATCTGGGTCAGTTTGTGGTATTAAAAAAAAACCCAACAACTGGACATGCCTTATCATGAGTATAGAAAATAATCAGAATTACTGCATGAATCCTACATGTCCACCTGCTCTGGATTACTCTCTCTTTGACTGTTCATCAAAAACTGCTGCTGAAAGAATTGTTCATGTGCGCAGTTACTTAATAAGTTGTCCCCAGATGAAATCCTCTTTTGCCCACAAATTATTTCAGAATATCTTATTCCCTTTTAAAGGGTAAAACAGGCATGCTTCTTCAGGCACCTTTTGAGAAATTAATTATTATTACTACTTGGTTGATTTTTGTAATGGTTGTCTGCATCTTGCTAAATTCCTGACTCTCCAATATGCTTCACAATGCATGGCCTGAGCATGCATTGTGATTCATATGAAAATGGCATTTTGTAATTTCATAGTTGTAACATTTCTGATGATTTTTCCATTTCATTGAATGGTAATTTTTCTGAGAAACACTCAACATATTGCTCTTTCATATTATTGCATTAATTCAATTATTTTTTTTTTAGTAAATATACTCTAGATTTATTATAAAACATAAGAAACTTTGGATTACTGCTGATATATTTTAGTGACATAAATTTCAGAAAATATTCTAGATATTCTATAATCAGTGCAATATTGATGAGGTTTTTTGTTTCTGGTTTCTTTTGGCACACTGGGGGTTGCTTTTTTCTATTATTCCTATATACAGTCTTGATTCTTTTTCATTTAAAGAATAAAATCAAAATAAATCACCAGCAATATATCTTTACTGGCCTGCCTCCAGAACTTGATTGGAATTGCATCTTTCCAGAAGCCCTCAGCTGAACTGCTGACCAGAGAAAACAGCAGCTACATAACAGTCCACCGTAAGTCTAAATACAAAACTGGGGCCTAGGGTACTCAGTGAAAACCAGTGGTTCCAGTCAGAACTGAATCATGTGTAAGAGATGTTGCTGTAATTATGAGGACAGAGCTAAAACTGTGTTCTTTCACAAAGCGCCATGGGATTTTAGAGTGATCAGCACTGACAGCTATAAAATGGGCATGTAACAGGAACATGAATCAGTGTTTACAAAAAATTATGAGCATTCAAACAATTACTTTATAACAGCAACTGTTTCCTAGATGCTCTTCCATCTAAGGCAGGACGAAAGTGCTGCTTAACTTTTATGACCTATACTTTAGTTTGATACAGTCTATAGTTATGGCTTTACAACCCATAAAAACTACAGTATGTTTTGTCATCTTTCCTTCAGTCTCTACATCATCTCCATAGTTACAGAGTGTGAATATTTAGCTCCTGAGAGTATTATCAGAATGTTGGTGGCTGCATTTTATTTCACTACAGCCATATAGACTGAGCCAGTTTTACTTCATGACTTACTGAATAGCACTTCTGGCACTTAGTCTGAGACACTTAACATTGGCAGGATTTGACGGTTTCCTGCTTCTTCACTGAAAGTGATTAAAATTCTTCAAAGCCAAAGGCTGTATAGACAAACATCAGAAATATAGGTTCATAGCAAATTACCATGGATATAGAAACACATTGACACAGACAGGGCATATATTTTCCTCATAGTCAAGATATGGCTAACATTTGATTTCGTCTTGACATTAGCATTATAATCTCCAAGTAGATATTGTCTAAATCTTTTCCCAAAGGCCCTAGATCCATATGACCACAATTTAAATAACCACATGAAAGAACATGTGAGGGCTGCCTTTCCGTGTGTATATTTGCCCTTTACAGGGTTTCATAGGACACCATGATTGCTATTCATAACTGAACATTTGTTGCTTTTTCTACATCTCTT